GAGAGATTTGATGAGAATCTGATCCCCACTTTCACATCTTGTAAACCTTTATTTGTACTTTTCCTCTTTAATGATCGTTTTCTGATATGAATTATCATTTTTGTGTACCAAATTTGTTTTCTCGGCTACAATGTAAACACCCTAAAGGACTAGGTCTCATTTATCTTGAATCTGTTCCCTCCCCCATGACTTAACAAAATGCTTTTCAAGCAACAAAACAGCTATGTACAGTACTATAGAAATTTAAACTTTATTACTACTACTGTTATTTGTGAAATTAAGACACTGACACCTTCCCTATAGGTATAAATGTAGTATCAAGAAGGGGGATGCATCACCATTAATGCTCATTAAAACTTTTTTTAATCATTAGCAAGCAGTCACCAAATAGGCATCTAAAGGAATGGGAAGAAAGACAAAATCATATCTGGTTGCCCCAATGAGTTGCGCAGTTATGACCCTATGTCTCTAAATAGATGATGTGAACTTGGCATGACTTCCTATGTTCATTCCAGAGTAACTGTATCCTTTCTTCTTTGTTTTCTGTAGTTAGTGTTTCTTCATGGGTGTTTTAAACTGTCTAGGTTGGGTTGTCAGAGATGCTTTCTGAGTTTGGGTGATTTCCAGTGACTTTCTTTTGGCCAATGCTTACAAATGTCTTCCTTTTAATACAAGCATATTATAAAGCAATCTTTTACAGTTAGCAGGGTAGTTAATAAAGTCATGGGGAATATGTATCTAGGTTGGTCTATTTCATAAGAAACATCTGTATCTGTACAATTGTTGGCAATGGATGACCCAATCAGTTATTTATTCTACACCTGATGCCCGCCTTGACTTGGATGAGGCAGGGCACCCAGGAACTTGTTCAGGCTGATTTTAATAATATGACCCCAAGTAAGACATTGCATCCTCACCTTTCCTTCCCTTGTACAGGCTGTTCCCCATTCCTGGAATGCTCTCCCTCCTTACCTCTGATCCTTTTGAGGCTCACCTCCTATATAAAGCCTTTCCTGATACTCTTAATTGGTTGTGGGGAGGTTTACCCCAACCCAAAATGCCTTTCCATTTACCTCTATATTTTTTTACTTACTTCTCTGCATTTGTGGTGTTTCACCTCCAGTACAATAGAATCTCTTTGAAGGCAGGAACTGTTTAATTTTTGTCTTTGTATATCACATGCCTAACTTGAGGCCAAGGTGCTTAATTAATGCTTATTGAATTGAGTTGATCAATAGTAACAGCATTAATAATAATAACAATAGGAGGCGGCTAGGTGGCACAGTGGATAGAGCACCGGCCCTGAAGTCAGGAGGACCTGAGTTCAAATCTGGCCTCAGAACAAACACTTGACACTTACTAGCCATGTGACCCTGGGCAAATCACTTAACCCCAATTGCCTGATAATAATAATAATAACCATAATAACAATAGCTGAAATTTACATCATGCTTAAATTTGTTTTCTACAGTACAAACACCCTAATGGTACCAGATCTCCTTTATCTTGAATCTTCTCCCTCCTCCATGACCTACCAAAATGCTTTTCAAGCAACAAAACAGCTTTGTAAAGTACTATAGGAACTTAAACTTTATTACTACTACTAATGTTATTTGTGAAATTAAGACACATGCTTTTTTCCCTAGTTTGCTATTATAAATCATCCCTTTTTTTGCCTCAAAATTACCCTGTGAAACAGGTAATTCAAGTATTATCCCCAATGGGCAAACAAAATGAGGAAACTGAGGCTTCTTTGCCATTGCATTCTCTTGGCTCCCCCCCTACCTCTCTGATGTCACTTTCCCTGTTCTGTGGTCATTTCATTCTTGTCTTGTCCCTTAAATTTATGCAGACTTTAAGATTTTGTCCTGAGCATTCTTCTCTTCTCTTCTTTCTTCAATGCCTCTTTCTATAGGAATGGGGATAGAAACTAGACCAATGATGTTACTGATATAGGAAAATCCATCTTGCCAATGCAGATGGCCACTTTCTTTGTACCTGATAGCCTTAGAGAGTGGCCTACCATACTGAAAGGTTAGGTAGCTTGGGTCACACGAGTGGGGTGAATCAGAGACTTCTCTGGCTTTAGCCATCACCTGAATGCACATGACTCCCAAATGAGTATCTTCATCTGTGACCTCTTCGCAGAACTCCAGCAGGCAGTTTGTGATGTGAGACTGGAGCTCAAGAGAAAGATGAATGCTAGACAGGAAGATTTGGAAACCAAATTTCAAGGAGTTGAGAAATAACTAAAGAAAAGGAAATAATCAGTGTGGGCAATTTATTTCTAGGAGTTTGATTGTACAAGGAAGGAGAGATTTGAGAAAATATCTTGAGAGAAATTTAAGGTCAAAGGAAGCTTTTTTAAAATATGAGGATGGGAGAAATCTGGGCATATTTGTAGGCAGCAGGGAAAGAGTCATAGCATAGAGATATATTGAATATTAGATGAGAAGAAGAGAGGGTTGAAGGGCTAAGCTCCTGGTGGAGATAGGATGGGATAGGATCAAGGACAGAAGCAGAGTGATTGGCATTGACAAAGAGAAAAGTTATCCCCTTTTCCCAAGACCAGAGCAAATGAAAAGAGAAGGAGGTGAAGTTCAGTAGATTTAACATATTATAAATGAGAAATCTTGTGACAAAGAGCCTTAGTATGAGGTGAGCTTCTTTCTGGGGAAAGGAGGAGAGGAAGGTGTAGGAGGTAGGTGCACGGTGAGGATTAGATGTTCTCCAGAAGAAACGTGATCAATAGTCAGTTACAGAAGGAGCACCACGTAACACTGAGAGCCCAGTTAAGAGAGCACAAATCCATGGCGGAAAGGCATTTAGTAACATGAAAGGAGGAAAAAGGTGGTGAATGGGAGGGATAAGCCAGGGATGGGCTTTAGAAGGGAATAAATAGTAATATGATGAAAGGGCAAAGGACACAAAGGGAAAGGACAGGAGAAAGTTGAATTGGTTAATTCCATCATGAAGACTGTGAGGGAAAGACAGTGAAGGTAGAACAGGGACATTGGGCTGGGAAAGCAGGGAGTGGAAATTCCTTGAGGGTGGGAATTATACCTCTTTTGGCCTTCTTTGTAGCCCCCACAACATCTTATAAATGCATCATAATAGACACTTCATAAATATTTGTTGTTTGATAAGTATATTTCCCTATACTATACAACAGAGATGTTTCAGTAAAGTTGCATGTATATATATATAATTTTTCCTAAATCAAATCATGTTTCAGGTGTCTCAGGGAGGTTCTCTGCTCAGTCATCCTGAAGTGAATCATTGTGTAAAGATTCCCATTGTGACTGACAAGCCTCTAATTTTCCTATTTTGTACCTTTGGATTTCTGTATAATGGATTCTCTTAAATGAACGCATCAATTTCATATGTTTGTTGAATGCCTATCAGTGCCTAGTATTGTGCTCGGTATTGTAAAGGATAAAATAAGAGTTTAGGAAAAATAATTTCTCTGGTCTCTGACTGTTGGGAGCTTCCCATCAAGTTGGAAAAGCAAAATTCAGACTAGCAGTCAGAAAATAAGAGGCCAGAGTGTATAATCAAGCTGTGTATGAAAGCTCTGTTGTGTGAAATCTTATAAATATGTCATGCAAAAATAGATGGACAGAACTAGGGCTATTTCTTCTGAAAGAGAGAAGATTCAGGGGAATGTGTAGTGGCTATCTTGAAATATTTGGAGAGCCATCATGTGAAAAAGATTAGACTTGCTTTGCTTGGCCCCAAGGGCAGAAGAAGGAGCAGTGAGTACAAGGAAATTCATTCATTCATGCATGCATTCACTCATTCATTCCACAAGAATTTATTCAAGTTGCAAAAAGGGAAATTTAACTTTGACATAAAGAAAAACTTCATAGGAGAGCTATTTCAAAGTGGAATGTACTACCTCAAGAAGCAGTCAGCCCCCACACACACCTGAATCTTAATGCAATGACAGAATGACAACTCATTAATTTTATTGTAGGGGGAATTCTTTGTTAGGACTAGCTTGTTCTAGACAGCCTCCAAAGTCCCTTCCCAAATTCTGTGATTCTGTAGCAGGAGGCCAGAGAAAAGATGGCTCACTGGGGGAAGGCTTCCTTAACTTTAGTTAGACCTTGAAAGAAGGGCTGGATTTAAAGAGGGAGACAGGGGGAGAGAATGTACGGAATTAGAAGAGTCAATATGGGCAAAGGTATGAAGGTGGGAGTTAGCTTGATAGTTGTACAATGAGTATATGTGTGTGAGGAAGGAGCGATTTTAACAGAACAAAATATATATGTGTGTGTGTGTATATATACACACACACACTCATGAAGATATAGACAATTATTGCATTTTTCCCCAGTGTGTGTAGAAAGACACTTTAAATCTTTCATTCTAAAATACTCATAACATATATGTACATATATACAGATATATGTGTGTATATGTATATGTATGTGTGCATATATGTGTATACACACATATATATATGTGTGAATTGGGGAGGATCATATTCAAAGTGTCTAAAAAGTCCAGAGAGGTTTTTTGATTTTATGTAGTAGGAAATTGAGAATGTTTATTTATTGTCAAGGGATGGACATGATCAATTCAACAAGCATTTATTAAACTCTTGTGTCCTCAGTTCAGAGTTAATAGCTACAAAGAAAATCAAAAATAGTCCTGCATGATGATATATTTTGTTTTTTCATCACCTTAATTTCCCCCTATATTCCTCTCCTTCCCCCCCCACCAGAGAGCCATTACTTATTCCATAGAATTGAAAATATTGCTCTAAGAAAATGTCTAAGCATGGTAGACAGAGTGGTTTGGAGGGACATGGAGGAAGAAATTGGAGACAGCAAGGCCAGGGAACAAACAATTTGAGATAGCCTGGAACTTGGAATGGTGACTAAGCCTCCTCTTTTAACCTCACTGCTCAGGTCCCCATAAGGAATATGCTTTGTGTTGGTTCTGGGACTCTCGGAATGAACCAAATGTGGATTTCTCCCTGTTGTCCTTGGCAGGAGAGTGCAAGGACCTGTCTGACTTACCTGGTGGAGCAGCTCGCTAACATGGAGCATTCCTTTCACCACCTTCTCTTGTTGGAGATTAAGAATCTTACAGACACCTTCTCTGCCATCCTGGGGACTCAAAGCAGAGATATCTACCGGATGAGTAACAGTTTCACCGCCATCGCTAAGCTTCTCTTTCGGCACCTGGACAGCGACAATGCCCAAAGAAGGAGGTAAATGGATGTTACTCTCGTCCCCGTTTGGGTTCTAGGTCTGTGGCCACATTTGCCTTTGAATGGGGAATAAGCCCAACAAAAAACACCTCATTTATGCACACATACTTTGCAATAAAAACATCTTCCAGAAAATGACATATATACCTTGTGCCGCCAAATGACAATTTCTGTCCAGGACTGCACGGGCTAAAATAAAAGCCCTGCAGGGCCTACTTCTATCCTCCCCTGGGAGGTAGATGATACAAGCAGCCCCACTCGACTTCATCTTTGATTGGAGAATGATGGCAGATGCACTTTTGCTTTGTTCACTTTCTTGGCTGAGCCCATGAAGATTTCAACAATTATTGCATTCTTCTCCAGTGGGTGTAGAAAGACACTTTAAATCTTTTATTCTACAATACTCATAACCTGGTTAGGGATATCTTCAGGGGGAAGGCCTCCCAGGGATGCAAGATTAACTTTAGGGAGGGTTGATCCCGACAGCACGTGCTCTTAGGAAGTCAAGTATGCCCCCTGAGCTTTTACAAAATTTCCATGCTGCTGCTTTTCAGGGATCTGGTTTAGAACTCACATTGCAGCCTCCCATGGGATTGTGAGAGGGCCCATTATTGGGAAGGTCATTTGGCATTCTGGGCACAGCCCATATGCTGATTGCTCCCTCCTGGTGACTGGCATGTGCACTAAAGGAGAAAGATTAAGCTTCATTCATGCCTAGGTCTAATTCTCTCAGCTTCCTCTGCTAAAGCCCTGCAGTCAGGAGGCTAAGAGACAGAGTCTATTTGGACCAAGTTTGTGAAATAATGCATGAGAAAGTACTGTGGAGAAGTATTAAACGTTATACACACTTGCCCTATTCCTGTGAGCTGAGAAGTGCCACTAATTCTTTACATCCCCCAAATGTATCAGGGGCACTTTAATAACTTATGAACCTCTTCTCATTAAATAAATCCCAGGGACAATGATTTAACAGAAATGCTTCACAGGCAAATTCTGAGAGAGAATAATAAGAAATGACTCAACAGAACACATTACATACATATTCTCGGTTGGGCGTCACGACCAAAGAATTGCTTTAAATCTTAGGAACTCTTCCTGAGCCTTCAACTTTACTTCTTATTCCCCACTGAAATTTTGCCCTTTGAGGTAGGTGCTACTATTGTTAGCATTTGAAAGCTAAGGATACTGAGGGTCAGAGAGATTAAGTGATTTGCCCACAGTTAGACACTGGTAAGGGTCTCAGGTGGGATTTGTACCAAGGTCTTTCTGACTTTAAGTCCACTACTCAATCCACTATACAATGCAGCCTCGTCATGAGGGAGGAAGGGAGGGAAGGAAGAAAGGAAGGAAGGAAGGAAGAGGGAAGGAAGAGGAAAGGAAAGAGGGCAGGAGGAGAAAGAGGAAAAAGAAACAAAGAAGGAAAGAAAGAAATGCAGAAATAAAGGAAAGAAAAAGAAAATCCCCGCCCCCCCCCCCAAGAAGACTTATGCACATGAGAAAAGGTCTTGGTTTCTGTTCCCATTACCATCCCCCAACCCCACCCCATGTAACCTAAAGAAAGGCAAGCAGAAAGGAGAGGAAAAAGACTCTGAGAGCATGGATGCCTGAGCCCTCTTTCCTTCCCCACAAGTGATTTCAGTTAGCTCAATCCTTTCTCCCTGCTTTCATTGTTCTTCTAACCCATTGAGATCTGGTGGTGGGAACCCCCAGATATTGGTGCAGACAGACAAGCAGCAGTGAGTCTCTCTTATTAACTGCTCATCTTTATCTGCATCGGTTGCCATGGCTCCTGGAGCAGCATCTTCTCTCTGAATGGCCGTTATTGTTAACTTTTGGCTCCCCTAATTTCTCCATCCCCAAAACTAAGAGTTCTCTAGGTTATTGTCTGAAACATGCGGGAAGAGGTCAGAGCCACACAATTAAAGTGGAAATTAATAAGTGAAGAGGGCATGAGAGAAGATGAAAGATGATCAAATTCAAAACAGATGTCACCCAATTTACAAATCTAACACACACTCAGCAGGCAAGATTTGAGACCAGAGGCCAAAACTCCAAGAGCATTGAAAGAAAAAATAATTAGCATCTGAGAAAGAATGAAAAACTGAAGCAGACAGCAGCCTCAGTGTGCCAAATCATTTTGAGTAAATTGGACAGTTTTTATTAAATGCATCCAAAGACTGAGCTTGTATTTTGTTCTTTTCAATTTTGAAATCATTTAGTAAGGCCAGACAACAAATGAACAAAGACTAAATATTAGGAAAGACTAACAAAGTATATTAGATTTTGACATCTATTTGAGGGGAACTAACAGCCATAACTGCCATTATGGGTTAAAACAAAAGAATGTGCCAGGGATTGAAAATGCCATCCATGTATTACAGTACTCTGGCCATGACTACTCTTCCTTCAGCCACTAATGATTGGTTTATTTGCTTGCCCAATCAAAGCTGCGGAAGGGGCACCTGAGACCCTGGCAACCACTCAAGTTGGCTGAGCAGACGGGGGAGGATATCCAAAGCATCTTTGCCAAGTCAAGAAGGCTAACATAAATAGGCCATTGTGAAATAGTCCATCATGAAGCAGTATTTGTGGCAAGATGAGCCAGGCCTATATCAAATAGTGGAGAAGGAAATTATGAGGAGCAAGGGGGAAATAAGGAGGAAGAAAAGATAGAGAAAAGTAGAGGAAAAAAGGGCAGAAGAGGAGAAAGGCTCAAATGCTTGGGCTCTCTTGTCTTTAACCCTTAGGCACTCTTCCTGAGCCCTCAACATTACATCCCACTCTCCACCCTGCCAAGATAAAAAAGGAATCCATTCCTTTTAGGCCCAGCCCCAAAGTCTTAGGCAGAAGCTTTCAAAGCTGTAAGAAAGAAAGAGAGTTGATTTGGGATGAAGATGAAAAAATGTTCAATGGTAGATTTAAAACCAGATAAAATGAGAGAGGGAAGACTACTTAAATCCTCAACCAGATCAAAAAAACTTCTAAGAGCCAGCCCTGGAAGAAAGGAAAGTCAAATCATAGTCATACCAGGTTAAAGAGGTAAGGAACAAATGGAGAAATGAATAAAGACAGTCTAGTTGTCGTTCATTTGTTCAGGCACGTCCAACTCTTTGTGACCCCATGCACCATGGCACATGAAGCCCTTCTATCCACTACTATCTCCCAAAATGTGTCCAAGCTCATGTTCATTGCTTCCATAACACTATCTCTCCATCTCATCCTCTGCCGTCCCCTTCTCCTTTTTGCCTTTAGTCTTTCCCGACATCAGGGTCTTTTCGAATGAGTACTGTCTTCTCATTATGTGGCCAAGCTTCAGCTTCAGTATTTGTCCTTCCAATGACCTCCTTGGCTGTTTGTTTTCCTTCATTCTCAAAGAAGACCAAAATGACATCCCTATGTTGGGGGCAAGATACAGTGTGTCCGACTGTGGTTGATCAGACCATTGCAAGCTCAGAAGGCTCTATCACTGGTCAGGCACAATAGTCCATATGAACATGTGGAGTGGAGATGGCTCTAAATTTGTGCATCTCACATTTCTTTTGAGCTGTTGCAATTCTACTTTGCTCATGGAGCATAGCTCCTTTTGTGATGGGGACACACCATGCTGGGCAGTCCTTTGCTAGTGTCCTCATGTCTCACAGTCAATTCCAAAGTTCTTCAGAGATACCATGCAAATGTCTTTGTGTTGCTTCTTCTAACCTTTGTGTGAGCACTTGCCTTGTGTGAGTCCTCCGTAAAATAGTCTTTTAGGCAAATGTACATTTGGCATTCAAGCAACATAACCAGCCCATCAGAGTTGCTCTCTCTGCAATGGAGTTTGAATGCTTGGCAGTTCAGTTTGAGAGAGGACCTCAGTGTTTTGTATCTTATCCTGCCAGGTGATCATCAGAATCTTCCTAAGGCAATTCAAATGGAAGTGATTAATTTTTGTGGCATGGTGCTAGTATCCCGTCCAGGTTTCACAGGCATACAACTATGAGGTCAGCACAACAGCTCTGTAGACCTTCAGTTTGGTAGGCAGTCTAATACCTCTTCTCTCCTACACTTTCCTTCGAAGCCTCCCAAGCATTGAGCCAGCTCTGGCAATTCATCATCACGTGTACATCCTTACCATACTGTCTGTAAAGATAATACAATTTTATGAGATGTTAACAAAGCATAGTGGGATGGAAGTAAGAGTTAATAACAGACTGTAAGTCTTAAGACATTTGGGACCTACTCTTACTAAAGCTGTGAGCTTGAGATCTGCTATATCTGGAGCAGCTCCACAATAGCTTCAGGGGGACCCTAGACATCTAGCCAAAGAATTCAATATTGGATATTGGGTCACTTCTGGGCCAGATCTATATTTGGACCCACCATAGACTGAAGCTAGGGAGCCGATTTAATCTGTGACCTTTGAGTGTCCACTTTGGTGGAGTTACTCAATCCTTCAAACTCATGACTGGTCCTCTCCCCTCCTTTCCATTTATTTGAATCCCTTCTTCAAGGCCTATCTCCATGACCATTTCCTCCATGAAGCCTTCACTGATCAGCCCAACTCACATGTTCCTTCTTGCTGCCCCCTTAGCTCCTAGCATATATTGAAAGCCCCTCTGTTCAATAAATACTCAGTGCTTATCTACCATTGCATAGAAAGGATATCTTAAAAGTATTGTAGAGTATTCATTCTTTATTCTGGGAATGGGGGGTTTATACAAAGAAAAATCAACTCTTTTAGAACAACTGTTGGTGTAAGAATCTTTACATGAGCTTGCTCAAAATGATAATTAAAAACATGTGACACTCCCTTAGTGTTCCCCCCACACACTTTGGCAGACTGCTCCTACGAAGGTGATGTTTAAGAATGAAACCAGAGTTTTAAGAAAAAAGAAGTCATCTTTTTTTTATTCAGAGGAGTCTAATGTGGTCATTTTTTATAAAAAGACACTTACAAGGCAGAACTATATCTCCTTTTTGAGGTTGGAGCCATGGGCATCGTTCATTGTCCGTGTACAGTG